TTAGGGTTTTAGGGTTTTAGAGTTTGGGGGTTTGGGTTTTAGAGTTTGGGGTTTTGGGTTTTAGTGTTTGGGGTTTAGGGTTTTAGTGTTTGGGGCTCAGGGTTTTTGTGTTTGGGGTTTAGGGTTTTAGTGTTTGGGGTTCAGGGTTTTAGTGTTTGGGGTTGAGGGAGGTCCAGAACATGTGGCTTAGAGTGTAGGGTTTGTAGGTGAGGGCAAGACTATGGGGCCCGCGGAATAGTGAGAATGGCATTTTTATTTTCTTTTGGAAGGGGCGTGGTAGATGATATCTAAGGACTTTAGGAGGGACCCCTAATAGGGACCCTTAATCATATTAACCCCAATAACCTACAAGGGTCCCTATTAGGGGTCCCTCCTAAAGCCCTTAGATGATAACTGTCATACGGAATCCTAAGGACTACTTGGAGGATCATGGGACTTAGTACATAACGTTATAAGTCCTTTAATTAGGGTTATAAGTATAGTTACCTTAGTTACAACCCTGCTTACTAAGTCCCATGATCCTTTGAGTAGTGTTAGCAATCATTTAGTCTCTCACATTTGCAAGGAAAGTGTATACGTATACATATGTGTATGCATATATATGCATATATATATATACACACACGCCGTTTGAAACTCAAGTCATAAGGAGTGACCTCAAGCTGTAAGGTGTAATGCTTGATTCACCTTCTTGTCGATTCTTTTCCGTTTAGAGTGTCTAGAGCTGCGGGTTGGGACTTCGGGCGTGACGCAAGACGATGCGTGCCATCATGCTAGGCTTGTGGCGCTTCTGCTTCGGGCTCCCGGAAGAGCTACTGGAAGTATGGGAATGTCACGGTAGTGACAAGAGTACCGGCTGGAAACGACATACATAGTCGCAGCAGGCACAGCATGTCGTAGCAGCCCTGAAAAGCAGAACATTCAGAACTATCAACCGCTCGGGCGTCCGCGAGCTGCGGACTTTCCAGCTTGAAAGCTGCACTGCAGTCTTTCCGGGAGGGTGCAGAGGTGTGAAGACCCAGCAATGCAGACCTACTCAAAGGAACATGGGACTTAGTAAGTAGGGTTATAACCAAGGTAAGTATACTTATAAGCCCAATTAAGGGGCTTATAACCTTACTTACTAAGTCCCATGATCCTCCAAGTAGAGTTGCAGATCGCAAGTTCAGGTCCAGGTTCCCCCTGCTCCAGCACCGGTCGCGCGTTTCGGGTATGGGAGCCTCGTTTAAGTTCTTCCTTGCGGCGAGTCGCTCAATCCCGAGAAGCTCGAAACACCATAACCAACAGTAGCAAAAACAGCAGCAGCAGCCAAGCCCCAAACGCTTCCAAAACGTGAAGTTGTCTGAAGATGCAGCGAAGGCGGTGGATGTGGGCCGCTTGCTCTTCGAGCTGCATGGCCACCTAGGCATGAGCATGGTGGAAGAGCTATCGCGACGTGGAAAGATGCGCTTCGCACTGGGCCTTCGGAGTGAGAATTTGGCACTGCGCCAGTCGAAACTTACATGATTCATGTCAGCACCACCCTTCCCTAAACCCTAAACCCTAAAACCCTAAACCCTAAACCCTAAACCCATCTCCACTCCTTCGGGCTCCTAGCCGGCAGCCGTCAGCCTCGGTTTTCCCCCCCTTGGGGGATGCGGACCCGGGCGCATGTGCCGCCGGCCGTGGTGCTGCCAGAGGACCTGGCACCGGAGGCAGGGTTTAGGGTTTAGGGTTTAGGGTTTAGGGTTTAGGGGTTGAGGGTTTAGGGTTTAGGGTTTAGGGTTTAGGGTTTATCTGTCTGGTGCTTAGTAGGGAATGGGGGAATGGGTTATAGGGACTACTATAAGGGACCTTAAAGGGACTACCATAGGGATCCATTCCCCCATTCCCTTCTAAGCACCAGACAGTTCTGGATGCCAGGGCTTTGAGAGTTTAACATAGGGGCCTTAATTATTTGAATAGGGGTTGGGGGGTATATTGGATTTTAGTTTAATCAAACTAAGTCATTAAGGCCCCTACCTTAAGTGTTGTGAGGCTTCGGTTTTCGTTTGTTTTGGGTTTGGGTTTTGGGATCCAGGATCTCATTGGTCTTATGCCGCAGCACATCCGCAAGTATCCTGTGATAGTGTTCTGCACTACTGAACTTCTTCGTATATAAAAAAGCATGTCGTAACCAAAACCACGTGATGTGGTATCTTTTCAATGACAATAGTCTCATAAGGCCCCTATACAACCCCAACCCTTTAAGGGTCCGTCCTTTAGGCCCCTATATAACCCCAACCCTTTAGGGGTCCCTCCTTTAGTCCCTTGGATCTTGTGGTACTTGGTCTTGCGTTCGTTAGAGCCTCTCCGGTCAGGCGATAGCGGACGATGCTGCGGGTCAGGGCCTAAGCTCCTGAAAATAGAGCTGGCAATGCAGGGGTCGGTATACCAAGTGATAATAACATGCCGGATATAGTCCCTCTATTTATCTGTCTACATATCTACCTATCTTTCTATTTATCTTCTTATTTATCTGTCCACCTACCTATCTACCTATCTACCTGTCGATCTATCTATTTATCTAAGTATCTTCTAGCCAGGATTCATATATATATATATATATGTCTATACACATACAGAGAGAGAGAGAGAGAGAGCTAGCTATATAGTCTGTATACGCCGCCACCCCATCCCATTTGCTGCGGCCCTATGGTTGCCTGCCGAAAGGAGCCAGAGACTCCAATATCACTTAATTAAGGAATATAGGGTTTAGTGTTTAGGGTTTAGGAAGATACCTTAAATCATATTCGGGATCCTATTATAATTGAAGGCATATTCCTTAACTACGGGGTTTTGGAGTCTCTGGGGAGCTTGCTCAGAGATCGAGGGACAACCGGAACCCCACCGCAAGCCCCAAACATGCAAATGCCGCAGCTTTAGGGGTTTTGGGTTTATAGTGCGTACCTGGACGCTAAATTCCCTGCCGATTATGAGGACTTGTATGAGGAAATAAGGATCCCTCAAAAAGGTAGGTTCTTCAGGGTCCCGGTAGGAATTCAGAACCCAAAACTCATGGACCTGGATTCCCTAAACCCTAGGTTCTAAACCCTAAGCGATTCCCTACAGAAGTCACAAGCCACCAGGTCTTACCACAAGGGCTCTTTAGCTACATGGGGTCATCGGCTCTGTACTCTGAGGATCCTACTGCCTAGGGTTGTCGGAAGCTCCACAAGTCCTTAGCTAGGGGTTTAGGGTTTAGGGTTTGGGGTTTAGGGTTTAGGGTTTAGGGTTTAGGGTTTAGGGTTTAGAGTTTAGGGCCAGGGCTTTAAGAGTCAAACTTAGGGGCTGAGTAGGTAACCTTTAACCTTTCAGGGCTCATATAATCCTACTATAACAGGGTACTCAGCCCCTGAGAGTCTGGTAAGATGGGAATTCGGGCAAAATGGCATTTCAGGTCGAATCGGAAGGGGTTAATGTAGGGGCCTTCATAATTCGAAGAGGGTTTGGGCTATGTTAGACTATAGCTCCTACATTAGGGCTTATGGCTTTTGGCTCAGTGCTTCTGGTCTTCGTGAGTTCCGACAACATTTGGCTGCATCTTTGTCCGGTGTGTCCACGTCCGTCAGACCTACCTTAACCTACCCAAACCTAGTTTTTGTGGGTTCTTATTATAAACCCTAATATGGAATTTATACGGACCCTACAAAAAAGTAGGTTTTGGTAGGTTAAGGTATGTTTATGTTTCAGCGGAGTGGCAAGTGACGAAGACAGCTTCCAAGAGCAATCAGATCCTACAGAAGCATCTCAAGCCTCCACACATTCTAACCCTAAACCCTAAACCCTAAACCCTAAACCCTAAACCTTAAACCCTAAACCCTAAACCCTGAACCCTAAACCCTAAACAGTAGAGAACTCTTCGGCGCTGGCTCCCCTGACGGCTTAAATATGCTACATACTCACACACGCACACCCATGGCTTTGAATGTAAAGATCTTGAGTGCGGGTGTGGTGCTTCATGGCAAGGAATGCGTTTACGCAGATCCCAAACCCACCCAGAGACTCCCAAAACCCCTTAATTTAAGGAATATACCTTTAATTATAATAGGATCCCTAATATGATTTAAGGTATATTCAATATTCCTTAATTAATTAAGGACTATACCTTAAATTATACTAGGATCCTAATATGATTCAAGGTAAATTCCTTAATTCAGGGGTTTTGGAGTCTCTGGGAACACAGGGCAAAATGCATCCTGCCGCCTTCAAACCAAGGCTCCCCGTCTCCATGGGTTTAGGGTTTAGGGTTTAGGCTTTAGGGTTCAGGGTTCAGGGTTCAGGGTTTAGGGTTTAGGGTTTAGGGTTTAGGGGCCTTCAAACCAAGGATGGAGCGCATCCCGGTCCCATGGGAGGCCTTCCTCTGCAGGCAAATTGCAGGCAGAAGAGACGCCTGGCACGCATTGAAGGCATGTATCCTTGTGTTGAGAAGAGGAGAGGTCGTCAACATATGGAAGTGTTCATTAATTGCCAGTCTCCCAAAGCCAGCTTAATGCTTCAAGCACTATAGTCACTATAGTTAAAGCTGCCTGCTCAAGTACCAGGAGCATTTGTTGACGATGCCCCCCCCCCCACATACACGAAGTCACGCTCAGCTCCTATCCGCAGCCATTCAGGCTTCAGACATACCCGAAGGCCATGCAGTCGGCGATAGTCAGGCTCTCTTTTCAGACGAATAAGAGGCGTGGAGCAGACTTTAATGTTGCAGCAAGTGAAGAAAGGCGCTACGTGCGTTGAAGCAACTGTTTGAGAAAGGCCATCCTGTCTGTGCTAGCAGCAACTGCAAGACCATGGCAGCACCGGTTCCTGCGCACAGAGGTGCCGGGTCGGCGGTCCACAACTACTACCTTGTCGGGAGCGTGCTTTATCTGATAGGAAGCGCTTCTTGCTCTCCCAATTCAGAATGTACATCGTTTACATTTTTGCCTGCCCAGGTGTGATCGCAGGAGATGGTTAATCATAGTATTATCATGGTTATCTTATAGTCGAGTATCAGTATGAATACTAAGCTATGTTCATGGCATTCAAATATTGACAAAGAGAAGTTAAGATTGTATCTCCGCTCATTAATCATTTTGAACGCTACGATGATAGCTATAAGTACTGTCTGTTGTTACCTTCATCAAATTGATCGTCATTGATTTCTCATGTGCTTCTCATCATTCGTGGACCTTCACCTTGCGCCACAGGTGTTTTTCCCCCCTGCATCCGTGTATATCTTACTTCGGGCTTCGTTCATATCGTCATCTTTTCTGAGCACAGACCCTAAACCCTAAAGCCTAACCCCCTAAACCCGTAAACCCTTAGCCCCTAAACCGTAAACCCTAAACCCTAAACCCCTAAACCGTAACCCCTAAACCCTAAACCGCTAAACCCTAAACCCCTCAACCCCTAAACCCTAAACCCTAAAACTCTAAACCCCTAAACCCCTAAACCCTAAACCCTAAACCCTAAAGAGCTGATGGAATTCGACCGTGCACCGCAAGGTTTGCTACACGCTCGCTTCCCTGCTGACCGAGTACGCGAACCTGGGACATGCCGGAAATTTCTGCTTCTTGCTTGAAACTTTGGGGTTTAGGGGTTTAGGGTTAGGGTTTAGGGTTTAGGGGTTTAGGGTTCTTCAAACATTCGGGGGCTTAGCAAGGGATAGGAGTTTAGATGGCTGTCTATTGGGTTTTGAGGGTTATATTGGGGTTGATAGGGTCTTGCAGGCTTTGGAAATTCTTTGGGCGGGCTTATGTGGGGTCCATGTTGTGAGGTCTATAGGGACTATAAGGGTTTATAGTTGGCAGTAACCACGTGAATTGGCTTCGCTGTATCTTTGGATGATCCCTAGACTAGAACAAGACAACTTGCGTGTTGGGCCTGGTTACAAGCACCTCATCGGACAGCTCAGATGAGAAATCTGGTAAACCGGGTATTTCCTGCATATCAGACTTTTCTGCGTTCCTGCGCTCACGAGCGTGCTCATGGTTGTACGACCTCCTGCAGAGGCATGCGGCCCCAGCAGCCCTTATACAAACCCTCGAAGTACCCCTTAACGCAAATCTTATCGGAAATCCTGTAGTGGCACTTTGAGGCACCCCCTTTGGAATCCCTCTAGAATCCCAAGAAGGTTTCGTGCTGGGCAGCGTCCTCTTCGTGGCCGATGCTGCCGGGGTCCGGCCATGCAAGCCCGTAGCGCATCAGACCCTTGGAAAGATCTCATTTATGTAGGACAGGAGCCTTAATAAGTGCCTATATTATTTTGGGGTTCCTTATTATAACTATAATATTATTTTGTTGTTCCTTATGATAACTATAATATACCACAACAGCCGATTCTACTTATTAAGGCTTCTACACTAGGGGGTTTAGGGTTTAGGGTTTGGGGTCCTCGAGACTACATACCATAGGTATGACATTACGTAGCATCCACTATGTAGCAAATCATAGATAATCGGTCAGAAATTATGAACCGTGTGCG